TCTAAATCAATTGTTCCTTCTTGTGGAAACCATGGGCAGCATTTTTCTACACATTCTAAAAATTCCTGTAGCTGAATGTTTGGAATAACTAAACCTCTTTCACTATTTTCTTTAGTAATCTTAGTTAATAATCGCTATCTGTTTTTCCACTTTGTACCTGACCCATACTTTTGATCTTAAGGGCGCCTCTTAAGACTGAAAGTATATATGTGGGCCTTTCCAAAGCGGCACTATTTCTTATGCTCTAAGTACCGAGCCTGTTTCTAAACTTTTCTTCTAATCTTTTTCTTCTAATTTCTAATCTCCCACTTAAGCCTGGTGGTTCCCCCTCTTAGCCCTAAAACTGCTAAGGGATTATCTGTAATGACCTTCGCTTCCTTTACCTTGATTCCGCAGTGTCCAGCTACCAAGGATCTTGTTTCATAGCATAATAGCCACCAAGGGTTTTTCTCTGGAGTGCAAAGGAGCCACCTTTCTCAGACTTTCAATGTTGTTACTGTTCGAAGCGCCATAATGTTGCCCACAACCAGATAGTACACCGAATGGAAAGGCGTGAAATAAATGTGAGACGTGGGCCAGGCGGAGCAGTAAGGACTGACTCAGTTTATTCATCTGAGGGTACAGGATATATAGAGAAAATCTATCCTAACTTCAAAGAGTCCTCCCTGTGAGACACTCCCTGAAACATCTGCTAAGGATGTGACAACATACATTTCCTCCTTATCAGAGTTCCTAGATAGGGTTGTAAATTCCAAGGCTTTTTCCTGGTGCCTATATAAAGGAGTGAATATGTAAATCTAAGGTTCAAAGAGTGAGAAGGAGTTTCTCAGGAGCCTCCTAGCAGGGGGAAATTTGGAGAGCTCTGCTTCTTAATGATTGAGCCCTTTGGGTTAAAGCCTGGGCAAAGGTCAAACTCTGTCCTGAATCTTAAACCCATATCGGACTCTTAAGAGTGGCCCTCAACAACAAAAAACATATTACAATGGAGGGAAAGATGGGAGGGTGGACTATGGACATCACTTGAACCTTAGTCTTATCAGTATTGGCTCAAAGAGGGAATAATATACATAATTAGCTGAATACAGAAATCTATCTTATCTGGCAAGAAAAGTAAAGGGTGGGTGGGTGGGTGATTTACAGAAGAGAGGGCATACTGGGGGAGGCTGTAGACAGAAAAAAAATACTGTCAAGGAGGGAAAGGGTGAAAAGAGAGGAGAAACAGGAGGAAAAATAGGATGTAGGAAATACACAACTGTGTATAGTAATCAAAACTGTGAATGGGATGAACTTTCCCATAAAATGGAAGAGGATAGCAGAGGGGATCAAAAAACAGAATTCTACAATATGCTGTTTACAAGAAACACACTTGAAGCAGAGAGACACACACAGAGTAAAGGTAAGGGGCTGGAGCAGAATCTATTATACTTTAGCTAAAGTGAAAAAAAAAAAGCAAGAGTAGCAATCCTGATCTCAGACAAAGCAAAAGCAAAATAGACCTAAATAAAAGAGACAAGGAAGGAAACAACATCTTGCTAAAAGGTGCCAAAGACAATGTAGTAATATAAAAAAGAAACATATATGCACCATCATATATGGCATGAAAATTACTGAAGGGGAAATTAAGTGAGTTACAGGAAGAAATAGACAGCAAAACTATACTAGTGTGGGACCTCAACTGTTTCCTCTCACAACTTGAAAATCCAAACAAAAAAGAAACGAGAAGGAAACTAAGAATATTAGAAAAGTCAACTATGACAGACCTTTGGAGAAAGGAATATATCTTTTTCTCAGCAGCACATGGGACTTAAACAAAAATTGATCATGTATTAGAGAATAAAAACCTCACAATCAAATGTAGAAAGGTATAAATATTAAATGTATTCTTTTCAGATTATGTTGCAATAAAAATTACATTCAACAAAGGGCAGTGGAAAGATAGATTAAAAATTAATGGGAAACTAAATAATCTAAGCTTACAGAATGGATCAAAGAACAAATCATAGCAACAATCAATAATTTCATTAAAGAGAATGACAACAATGAGACAACATCCAAAAATTTATGGGATGCAGCCAAAGCAGTACTTAGGGGAAAATTTATTTCACTAAATTCTTACATCAACAAAATAGATAAAGAGGAGATCAATGAATTGAGCATGCAACTAAAAAAAGTTAGAAAAAGAACAAATTAAAAATCCCCAATTGAATACCAAATTGGAAATCCTGAAAATCACACGTGAGATTAATAAAACTGAAAGTAAAAAAAAAAAGAAGAGTTAATAAATAAAACTAGGAGCTGGTTTTATGAAAAAAAAAAACCAATAAGATAAGCCATTGGTTAATTTAATTTTTTTTAAAAAAGAAAGAAAACCAAATATCCAGTATCAAAAATGAAAAGGGTAAAATCACCACCAATGAAGAAGAAATTAAAGCAATCATTAGGAAATATTTTGTCCAATTATATGCCAATAAATCTGACAATCTGAGTGAAATCAATGATTATTTATGAAAATATAAATTACTTTGATTAACAGATCAGGAAATAAAATGCCTAAATAACCCCATCTTAGGAAAATGAAATTGAACAAGCCATTAATGAACTCCCTAAGAAAAAATCCCCAGGGCCAGATGGGTTCACAAGTGAATTCTACCAAATATTTAAAGAACAATTAATTGCAATACTATATAAATTATTTGGAAAAATAGGTGGAGTCATACTAAATTCCTTTTATGACACAAATATGGTGCTCATACCTAAACCAAGAAGAGCTAAAACTGACAAAGAAAAATAGTAGCAAGGAGACCACAGCAATATATCACAAAGATTATACACTATACTAAGGAATGCAAAGTTGGTTCAGTATTAGGCAAACTATCAACATAATTGACCATATCACTAACAAAACCAATAGATTATCTCAATAGATGCTGAAAAAGCTTTTGACAAAATAGAATACCCATTCCTACTAAAAACACTAGAAAGCATAGGAATAAAGGGAGCGAGCATTCCTTAAAATGATATGCAGTATCTATCTAAAACCAAAAGCAAGCATCATATGTAATGGGGATAAGCTAGAAGCCTTCCTAATAAGATCAGGGATGAAGTAAGGATGCCCATTATTATCACCACTATTATTCAACATAGTACTAGAAATGTTGGCTATAGCAATAACTAAAAAGTTTTGGGAAAAAAAACCCCACCAGTCTAGATTTAGGGTTCCTCTTGTATGCTGCCATGATCTTTAGACAATTCAGCAAAGCAGCCCTCTATTCCCTTGACCAAAGGAAAGGTGGAGAGTGAAGAGTGTTTTATACTGCTCCAACAGTGAAAGAACAGGGTTGGAACCATCCTGGGTAGGGGCCACAGATCTGGGAACACTCTGGATGGCCAGTTTCCTCATTCTTTTAAAAATGTTCTGCATTTCGGTTTTGTTGTTTTTTATATGGATCTGTTCTTTCTTAAGGAACTCCTTGGGTGATGTGATACCCTCTATTAATGGAGAGCAACAAGTCTTTTGCAGTTTCTCTCAGAGATTTCTCCAGAGCACTGAGAGGCTAAGGAACTTCCCCAGAATTACACAGGCAACAGGTGTCTAGGTGGGATTGGAACCCAGGTATTTCTGACTCTGATGTAGGCTCTCTATCCACTGTCTAGACCATGACACCTCTCTGCACCTCCATCTGCTCATTTGTAAAATGGTGCTATTGCCTCTTCCATCTACTGGACAGGGTTGGGAAGCTCAAATGAGAGAACGTATGTGGAATTTTCTAGGAACATTCAAGTGCTACATAAATCTAGGGTATTATGAATATCAGCAGCAGCAGAGCCATTGGCTCTGAACTATACCCCCAGGCAGTCAGGGGGCACCACAATGCACAGAGAGTTAGACCAGGAGTCAGAAATGTCTAAATTCAAATTCAGCCTCAGACACTTTTCTAGCCATGCAACTCTGGACCAACAACTTCATCTGTTTGCCTCAGTTTCCTCCTCTGTAAAATGGAGATCATAATAGCACCCACCTCCCAGGGTTGTTGTGAGTTGTCTGTAAAGTGCTTAGCTCAGTTCATGGCACACAGCAGATTCTCTAGAAATGCTTATTCTAGGGGCAGCTAGGTGGCTCAGTAGAGCTCTGGCCTTGAAGTCAGGAGGACCTGAGTTCAAATCTAGCCTCAGACACTTGCCACTTACTAGCTGTGTGACCCTGGGCAAGTCACTTAGCCCTGATTGCCTCACAAAAAGAAAGCAAAAAAAAATGCTTATTCTATTCCCTTTCCTTCCTCTGAATGCATACAAGCTTCCCCACCTTTTTCTGCCTTTCAAAGACAGACAGACAGACACACACACACACACACCGTCTTCCACTCTGTGGCTTCTCATCTCATATGTCTGGATTGTCCTGTAGGTCGCTTCTTAGGGCCTCTCATAAGGTCTGTAATATCTACCTCCTAGGGTTATTGGGAGGCAGAAATGAGCCAAATTAAAGTGCTCTGCAAACCTGGAAGCCCAATAGAAATGGTAGCTCTGGCACTCACTGGTCAGGCCAGATATTATCTCCCTGCACAGCAAACTGCATAACCAGAACAACACAGGTACTTTGGTAAAGAAATCATCCTTCTTTACTGCTTGCTGAGAGGTTTGCCGAGCAAATTCCTTTCCCTGTCTTTGCATCCAGTCCTTCCATGTAAAATTCAGGCAGTTGGCCTAGTTTATTTCTAAAATCTCTTCAAAATTGGACATCAACTGTGCACTAATCCAGAGTCATAGAACCTGGGTTTAAATCTGAGTTCTGCCACTTAGTGTGTGGCCTGGGGTAAAATCATTTTAGCTCTCTGGGCCTCTGTCCAGTGACAGACCTGGCCTTGGTGGCCTCTGTGGGTCTTTGCTCTAAATCCATGAGCCCATGAGCCCATGAGCCTGTCTTTTTTTTTCCTCCTTGGGCCACAGTTTACTCATCTATAAGATTAGGGGGTTTTATCAGATGGTCCCTAAGGTCACTTCTATCTCTGCCATCCTGTGATTTCCCCCCCCCCCACGTCCCAAGGGAGATTTATGGGGCTAAGAACTAGAACCATAACACTAAGTTCTAGGAAACCACCACAGCTAGGAATGAAAAGTATGAGAATTCTGAAATGGAAGGCATTCAATGCTTTCTAGTAACCAAATTATGAAATGATGGATACTGCAGAAAATAACCATGTTCTGCTAACTAAGTTATAACTTAAAGATGTTTCATTCTGAAGTGCAAGCAAAGTCTTTGGTATTCAAGGTTCTTGCATCCCCAATGTATTCCTTACTGCCTGCATAATTTTGGACCTGTCTATGCCTCAGTTTCCTCATCTGTCAAATGAGGGGCTTGTACTGGATGATTTTTAAGGACCCTTCTTGTTCTGAATCTTATGATTCTGATGTCAATGAAGGAGAGAAGACTGGATTTGAAATCAGAAGACATACTGGCTCTGCCAACCCAAAAGCTGTATGATCTTTGAAGTCAAAGGACTTTGGTTTAAATCCAAGCCCAGTCACCTGTGTGAGTCTGGGTAAAATCACTTCCCTCTGAGTTCCTATCTACATTTAAACTTAAGATTCCCTGATTCTACCTCTGCTCACTGACCTTGCTAGGAAACAAAGGATGGATGGTAGAGACCTCCTGAGACTCCCTCTGACCTTGAGGGGCGAGTAAGGAGACCTGGGTTTGGGTCCTGACTCTGATGTAAATTAACTATAAGACCTTGGAAACAGTCATACAATTTCTCAGGGCCTCAGTTTTCCTAATTTCTAAAATAAGGGGGTTGGATTAAATGATGAAGTCTCTTCCAGCTCTAAGCAATATTACTCCTAGTCTAGGCCTGTTTTAAGGGATTCAGATACAAAGGGATTTATTGTGGGGATAGCATGGGAGTGAGCTGATCTGGATTACACCAAAAGGCCGAAGAACTAAAAAAAAAAAATGCCTGCTCTGTGGAAGAGAATGGGAAATGCTTTGCCATTGGATGGGGGACTTTGGAGCCCTCTCTTATGTATGTCTCCATGTCACTAGCAAGAGAATGCTTAAATACTGTGGGGTGCTCTAGGAGGCCAATCTAAAGACTGATATAAGATTTCCTGCTCTTTAGGATAAGCAATTCTTTCTGGTATTCAGCATTCTCAGTGGCTGTCAGACTTCATTTCCATGGATGAAGTTTTAAGCTTGAAGTCCAAGGAAGCGGGCTGTGCTTAACACATCATCTCTTGTCAGGTAACAGCCACATAGCTGGCGATAGCCTGTGAATGATTCCCGGCCATGTAGAACACGCCAGTTGTCTATAAATAGAACCTGTGAATGAACAAAGGGAAAGAGAGGACACTATCAGAAGAGGAGACAACTATGAGATTCTGAAATCAATGGGTTACTTTATTTATTTATTTATTTATTTATTGGGTAAATAGTATTTTATTTTTTCCAATTACATGTAAGGATAGTTTTCAACATTAATTTTTTATAAGATTTTGAGTTTCAATTTTTTTCTTTCTTCCTTTCCTTCCCATCCCCCCCCTTCCCCAAGACAGAAAGCAATCTGATAAAGGTTATACATGTGAAATGATATAAACACATTTCTACATTAGTCATGTTGTGAAAGAAGAAACAGAACAAAGGGGAAAAACCACACAAAAAAACAGAAAATAATATGTTTCGATCTGCATTCAGACTCCATAATTCTTTCCCTGGATATGGATAACATTTTCCATCATGAGTCTATTGGAATTCTCTTGGATCAGTGTATTGCTGAGAAGAGCTAAGTCAGTCATAGTTGATCATCACACAGTGTTGTTACTGTGTACAATGTTCTCCTGGTTCTGCTCAATTCACTCAGCATCAGTTCGTGTAAGTCTTTCCCGGTTTTTCTGAAATCTGCCTGTTCATTATTTCATCATCGTGCCAATGATATTCCATTACATTCATATACCACAACTTGTTCAGTCATTCTCCAAATGATTGGCATCCCTTCCATTTCCAATTCTTTGCCACCACAGAAAGAGCTGTTATAAATATTTTTGTACATGTGGGTCCTTTTCCTGTTTTTATTATCTCTTTGGGATACAGACCTAGAAGTGGTATTGCTGGATCAAAGGGTGTACACAGTTTTAGAGCCCTTTGGGCATAGTTTCAAGTTGCTTGGAAGTTACTTTAAAGAAAAGCTTTAAATGGATTGCTTTCAGTGAGCTCAAAAAACCAGTCACCATGTTTGAATACTCACAATCTGTGGAGTTTCTGGGGTAGGTCCTGTGGTAGGCCCTGGTAGAAGCTACAAAGGAAAATTGTAGCACCATACAATACCTAGACTTGAGGAGCTTGTACTGGCTGAAATAATGGCCTCTCAAGGGAGAGGACCCAAGAAGCCAGGCAGCAGAATGGGAAAACTCTACTGAACTACCAAACGGTCCCTGTCCTCAAAGTTCTGCCACTTATGGCTAGGTGGCCTTGGGAAACTTACTGAGTCTAAGTCATAGCACACTCTACTTGAAAGGAATGTTGTGAGGTTCAAAGGAACATTTGTAAGGGACACATAAATGAGAATTTTGTTCTTAGGATCCAGGGCTTCCTTTGGAGTTCTACCCAAGTGCTGCCTCATCAATGAGACCTTTCTGGATCTCTCTTCTTCTAGTGCCTCCTCCTCATATTACCTTGTACGATATTTATTTTGTATCTGCTTCTATGACAGAATGCAAGCTCTGTGAGGACAGAGACATTTCCATTTCTGTCTTTATATGCTTAGTGATTTAGTGAGCTTAATGACTACTTTATGATTGACTGATTAATAACAATTATTCCTCTTTTCCTGTTATTCTTCCACTCTTCTTCAAAAGATATCAGATTTCTCACAAGGCATAAACAATAAAAGCTCTTTAACGATCTTTTACTCTGGAAGGAGTAGGGAGCCACTGGCAGTTCTTGAGCAGAAGAGTGATATGGTCAGAGTTGAGCTTTAGGGAGATAAACTGGGCAGCTCTGTTTCTGATGGACACTTTTGTAATATAATCAGTGCCATTGAAAGGACCCTTCTATTTTTTCCTTTACACAAAATGCTATCACTGTGCTATTTCCCTAGAGTTTCTTATGATCTAGTCTGAAGGCCCAAGCATTTGAATGATCTGTCCTGAGCCCTCTTCTCTTCTCCTTCTACCCTACTTCACTTGGGGTTCATCAGCTCCCATGAGATAATGACCATCTCAAGTTCACACTGAAAGTAAGAGCAAAGAAACCACCCGGAAAGACCAATACCTAACTCCTTGGCTCAATTACCATGAGATCCAGGGCAAACAACTTTCATTCTAATCCTAAAGTGAGAAGCTCACCTTGCCTGGTTTCAGTTTGATCCATAACTCATTCTCTGGCCTCCTCAGCTCTGTAGTGAGTGTCCGGTGTGCTGCGTACCAACGGTGGACAACATTGTAAGGCACAGTGTTGATGACAGCACGGTCATAATTGTTGTACCTATGGTGCAACCCAGAAAAAAAGTGGAAATCTTTCTTTATAAACAAGGCTGTAAGCTAGGTTGAAGTAACATAGTGGTTATCCTGAGAGCCTGGGAGGGCTGGGGAGATAATACTGATTAGCAACTTCTGTGGATTTCTTATCTCAGAGAGTTGTTTGGGGCATTGAGAGCCAGGCTGAGCCAGAGGCAGACTCTAAACTCAGGCCTTCTGGACTCTGAGGCTGGCTTTCTATCTATCCTGTTACACTGCCTCTTAACATAATGTAGCATGTCCATATTGCAGAGGAGACAACTGATGCCTTCATCAGTAAAAGTGATTGTACACATTTGCGGTGACTATTGCTTTTCTACTTACTAATTTTGTTGAGAGTCAATGAGTCAGGCAGGCCTTATTTAGATTTAACTTTTGGGTTTCCACCTCTTTTAGGAAATGTATGACATTGAATTTCCCCGAACCTAAGTCTATTGTGCGATTGTTCTCACTTTTTAATTTCTGAGCTTGCCCAAAACCCTCTTCTGAGAGTCTCCCTGGAGCAAAGGTCTTTATTGATAAAGCCTGTGGCAGCAGCACACCATTCAACTGATTCCCAGGAAGCCCCTCAAAAGGAATGAATGCTGTAAGATGTCAGTATTATGGTGAGCACCGATGTAAGGACTTGGAAGATTTTGATCAGGAGGGTAGGCTTAAGGATCAAGAGTCACTTTGGGGAATATGAGCTCTAGTAGCTTTTCACATGCTCTGCCTAGGCAAGGGGCAATTTTTTCATGCTCACCTGATCAAGTAGAGCTCTTTGTTCCATGGGTAGATATTCAAGACTGGCCCAACCCCAATCATGTGGTTGTGACATTCTCCCACATTTTCAATATACTCATGTTTCAGTGGCACCTTGCTGAGGAGGTCAAAGTCTGCAGGAGCCCTCTGCAGGACCTTTTCTGCTGCATAGAATCCATCCACGAGCAGGGTCCTACCACCAGTCCCTTCATGTTTGAGACAGTGAAATACCTGAATGCTAAAGAAGGGGAAAAAAGGGACATCAAGAAATACCTCTGTTCATTGGTTAACAGAGGATCTTATTGGAACACAAAAGAATTTTGGGGAAAAAGAAAATTCCTTTCATTAGCACCAATCCTATTACAAAAGTATCCATCAAAAACATAGCTGCCCAAATGATCTCCCTAAAGCCCAACTCTGAGCACATCAGTCCTCTGCTTAACTGCTGGTGGTTTCCTACCGATTCAAGGATAAAAGATAAATGACAAGTAAATGTCTTTAAAGCCCACCTTTCTAGGCTCATGAAAATTCTTCCCCTTTCTAACTCTATGTTCCAGCCAAACTCTATCTTTTGCATCTGAGCTTGGCCTAGGCTAGCCATCCCAGGACTGCAATGTCCTCCCTCCTCATAAAATGCCTACTTCCTTTTGAGATAGTTTAGGAAAACTCTTCTTTAAAAAAAAAATTAGGAATTTTTTCTTGATGTCCTTAGTTGTTAGTGTTCTCTAAGTTAACATTTGATTACCTTTCCCTACCCCACCCCAATGATAACTTCTTAAGAGGAGGGACTGTTTTTTTGTTTTTGTTTTTTTCATTTTTGTCATTGTACCTAGCACGGTACCTTAAAAAATTTTCCTAAACTATCTCAAAAGGAACTTGGCATTTTCTGAGGAGAGACTTAAAAACAGGTAGTTCTTAAGAACTGTTATTGGGGGTAGCTAGGTGGGGCAGTAGATAAAGCACTGGACTTGGAAGCAGGACTACTCATCTTCTTGAGTTTAAATCCAGCCTCAGACACTTACTAGCTGGGTGACCCTGGGCAAGTCACTTCACCCTGTTGGCCTCACTTCCTCCTCTATAAAATGAACTGGAGAAGGAAATGGCAAACTACTCCAATATCTCTGCCAAGAAAACCCCAAATGGGGTCACAGAGTTGGACATGACTGAAACTACTCAACAACAACAAAGTAAGCCACAGGCCAAGACTGAGGCTAGTAAGCCTCACAGCTTTCCCACCTTTCCCATCAGTTGTGATCCGAGCTTGTCCTCAGCCTGGTCCCATAGGGAATCTTACATTCACCTTCTTGGGCAGCTAAGTGGTACAGTGGATAGAGTGCCAGACTTGAAGTCAGGAGTCAGGAAGACATGAATTCAAATCTGGCCTCAGACACTTACTAGCTGTGTGACCCTGAACAAGTCACTTAACCCTGCTGCCTCTGTTTCTTCATCTGTAAAATGAGCTAGAGAAGGATATGGTAAACTAGTATCTTTGCCAGGAAAACCCCAAATGGGGTCACAAAGAGTCAGAAATGACTGAGCAACAACAATGACAGTTTCATTAGAAACAATGACGTTTCCTTTTATCCTAAGCTTAGGTAATCAACCACTGCAGCCAACTAATACCCATAGTTAGAACTATAAGAAACCCACCAAGAGACCCCTAGTCTTCAGCCTGCTCTTGGGTCATGACTGAGGTTGACTCTTGCATTCCCTGCACTTGAGACTGGAATCTCCTGTGTTAGCTTGGGGGCAGTGCTGATTGCCTAACAGAGATTTGGTGACTTTCTGGGCCACTGCCTCAGAGGGAGACACATGGCTTCTGTCTGGGCAGAGAGGGAACCTCATGGTTGAGTAAGTATAAGACCTACTTACTGGGAAGCCCTAAGATATAGTGATGTTAATGCTTGTATTGTCTAATAAGTAATATAAACAAATGTTTGCATGCATTCCATTAATGAAGTTGATTGCTAGCTTTGAGAAGTGTAAGTCAGATGAATGTTTCTCTCTTGCTAGTTAGCATAAGTAATGGTGACTCCTTTGTGCATAGGCATCCGGCATTAGTCTTGGTGCTTTTACAAAACACCATTAGTCTGATTTCAAGTCTTCCTTTGGAGAAGACTAATGACTCACTGTAGGTTCCAGTGTTGGTGTAAACAAGAGCTTTAGGTATAAGAGATTCAAGGGGAAGGAAGGTGTGGCCATCAATGACCAGTGACTCAGAGGTGGGATTTATGGGTGTTTCACTCCCTAGCACAGAGCTGAGAAATAAACTGTGGCAGACACCAGTGATGGTCAGATGCGCTAGCAGCAGCTAGTGGAAGCAGTGACATCAGCAGCCCATCATTTTCTTCATGGTGGATGCAGGGGGTAGCTAGGTGGGTCAGCTAGACAAGGTTGGAGTGGTAATGTCTGACTTGCTCTCACTTCCCTGACCTCCTCTCCTGGGAGAGACAATGACCTCTCCCTTTTAATGTCATCCTTTCTGGTTTCATTAAAGAAAAAGCATATCCTGTTTAGGAAGCTTAACATTTCAGAGGAAGAAGAAAAAAGCAATGCGGATTGTGTGTGTCAGGGGACAGGAAGGATGGATATCTTGTTATCGGTTTTCTTTTCAAAATGTGTGGAGAAAGGGATTTTTTCTCTATCCCATATAATAATCACTCCATGGAACAAAATTACTTAAAGATGTCAATTGCTTTGGGAAAAAGAAAATCAACTCAATAAAATATAAAACCCCTTAGCTCTATAATTAGATTGCTTTCTTTTCCCATTTAAAATGTTACAGTTCACCAAGCTAAAAGGAGGCTGATGAGTATTATTAAATCATAGAGTGACTGTGGCTTCCAGGAGGACAAGGTCAAAAAAAACAAAAACAAAAACAGTGCAACTCACTGGATTTTAAGCAAGATTTTGATATGTCACTGAAAGGGCCAGTAGCCTACAGGTATACACACAGTTGCTGTCAGCCTAAGAAGCACGCTCTGATCCTGGTTAGTTGGTTCACATACCCACAGGGCTCTTGGAAATAGGTGGTGTCTGTGTGGCGATCCAGGGCTAGCTTGGTATATGCTGTGTCTCCCCTGGAGAAATCAGAAGTAAAATTCCACATTCTACCGTAGATGGTTTCTCTGTAAGGTAGAGATGGAAGATGAATTGCTTGACATTTTAATTTTTTCCCCTTCAATCTTCCCCCCTGATATCTACCCTGAAATACTTTCTTATTTTTTTCCCCATGAAAATCAATTAGACAACCAGGCTGCTATCTGGAAAAAAGATAACAAATTTCATCAGAGCTGAATATGACAATATCCTCCACAAAGGTCTGTTCACTGATCTCCTTGTCAAGAAGTTGACATTAAAGTATAAAATATAATAAGTCATCAGGGGCTCTGAACCCTTCAATGACCTCTTAGAATAACAGACTGGAAAAACTGGGTTGGAAGGACTCTGGAAATTATTCAACACGACCCTCACCCAATGACTGCGTCTACCCCACAGCACCCTAAGAGGTGGACATTTAGCCTTGGCTTGAATACCTCCAATGATGGGGAGCTCACTTCCAAGGGGGCTGATTTCTCTGGCCAGCTCTGGCCAGGAAGTTGTTTCATAAAGTCAGCTAAGATAGAGCTATCTGAATTTTAACTCCATGCTGACTGGCTTACTCATGACAGCCCCACAAATATCTGAGGATAGGCAGGAGACCTCTACCTCCCTATGGATTCTCTTTTTTCAGGCAAACCATTCCTATTTCCTTCCTATTTCTTTCTGGCCATAGTCTTCATATCCCTAACCATCCAGGTAACAGATGCTTTTCATCTGTGTCCTAAGACTGTGGCACCTAAAACCCAAATACAACTGGTAAATCTGTCTAAATGGGAGCTAGCATAGAATACCTTGAAACTACTGCTTTTGCAAAAAGCATAAAGTCAGGAGACTTTATTCCTGGTTCATTTGCTGAGAAAGTGACTTAAATTTGGAATTTCAGCTGCTTTAATGAAGTGATGATACACACCATCTGCTTTGTCTCCTCACTGGGCCATTATAAGGACTGAGAGCAATCTAGGTGAAGTATTATAGGAATTGAAAGGATTGTCAGGATTGCAGTAGGACGAGATTTCATTGATCCTTTCACATTTCGTGGAACAGATGGTCAATTGCGAACTTCAAGTCCTTTGCCCACAAACCCCTATTAAGCCTGGCAGCCCTCTTTCCTCCTATTCTGTACCCTGCCAAATTTATTTTTCTTAATTGACTTTACATTTGTCCCTATTCATTTCTCTTACATTTTAGCTCATCTTCCTAGGTTGAGATTTTATGAATGTGGATTCTGTCATTTGACATTACTACCTCATTCATTCATTCATTCATTCAACAAATTATGGGACCTCAAAGAGAAGTACCTCAGGGACCATCTAGTCTAGCCTAAATCTGAATAAGAATTTCTTCTATAGCTTAACCACTTATTGGCTAGCCAGCTTTTGCCTGAAAACCTCTAGCGAAAGGGATCCCTCACTTCCCAGGGTGGCCCCTCCCACTTTGGGATAGCTCTCATTCTTAGGAAGTTTTTCCTGACATCAACCTGTTTTCCTTTTTGCAACTTCTACCTGTGGCTCCTGGTTCTGTTGTTCAGGACCAAGCAGAGCTGGTCCAATCTGTCTTCTCTGGGATAGCCCTTTAAATACTTGAAGATACTTGTGATGTTCTCCTCCACCCAATTTTCTCTTTTCCAGGTTAGACATACCTAGTTCCCTTAACTAAGCCTCACAGCAGGCTTTCCCCCTCCTGACTGCCCAACTCTGGACATTCTTCAACTTAAAAATATCCTTTTCAAAATGTGCCTCCCCCGCCCCCCCAACTACACCACATGTAGTCTGACCAGGGCAAGTAAGAGCAGGACTAGCACCTCCCTCAGCCTGCATGATGTTTCTCTCTGATTGCAGCCCAGGATTAGATTAGTGTTAGTATACTGAACTGTATGTAGCAAAGCTCTGAGGGGCTGTTCATGTGCACTGTTGTTTAGCTGTGCCTCCCCTGTCCTTTGTGTATGAATTGCTTTTTGAAACTCAAGTGTAGAACTTTATGTTTCTCTCTATTCTACATTTCCTCTTATTGGATTCTTTCAGCCCATCATTATAGACTATTAAGATTAGAGATCACTCCCTCCCCCTCATCCCTGGGCTGAAGAGCATCTTCTCAGTGGAGTGTTATAGAGACAGTGTAGGCCAGAGAAGCCAGAGACCTGGTGGGAACCCTAGCTCTGCTCTTTCCCTTCCTGGGACATGCTTGGGATATGCATATGGAATACATGTAGTTGTTATTTGCTACTACATGGAACCCAAACATATACAAGCGGGGCTCCATAGTTGCAACAATAGAGATCCTCAGTCCTCCCTCCCTCTTGCTGCTAGCTCTTGTGACAAAATGCCACAGTAATCTCCAGTTTTCCATGTAGGCCAGATTTGAGAAGTGGCTAACCACATCCATGCACTCAGTTTAATTTGAAATTTTCATTTGTGAAAATCTCCAATCAGCCCCAGTCTCAAGCTATCACAGGATTTGTGAGAGAGGATGCTGTTAGGGCTGTGAGAGCCTCAGTCCATCAGAGAAATCTAATGAAGACCGTGGGATCCTGGAGATGGAATGGACTTTGGAGGTCATCAAGTCCATTTCTAACCCCTTTTTACAGAGGAGAAAACTCCTGGAAACTTTTAAGGACTAAGCTTTTACCCAAGCTCCAGCCTGAGGATACAGAGGACCCTTGGTCACACAGAGAAGATGTAACCAATGAGCTGGGGGAACAGATCTGCCCTACTGGGCTGGACCCTTTGAAATGGCTACTCTTGGGACAGTAAAAGGAAGATCGATGCCATTGAGTCTTCCGATCTATCTTGGTAGATCCCACCTTTTTCACCTCTTCTCCCATTTGATCCTGACAAAGCAGACCAGAAAGGTGTTGATTCTTTGCATCATTTTACAGTTTGCAGTCAAACAACTGGTATGGGATGAAGGCAGAAATAATTCCTGGGCTCCTGAAGTCAGCCCAGGGCTCCCACCAGCATGCCACAGCAAATCACACAGCAGAGCTCACATTCATATAATAGAGCTTACTGAATGCTTTTCAAACAGCAACCTTGTGAACTCTTGGCAATAACTAAAATCATCTCCAGGACATGAGAGAAGAAGTGACTGCCCATGTGGCTTGTGACTTCTCTTTGGACTCCAAGTCCAATGCCCTAATCTCCCTCCCCCAGACTCCCAACCATGCTATGGACACTGCTTCCAACCTTTTGCTGCTATAACAGGAGGCACTGAGAATGAGTCCATACCAAAACTCTAGCTTTGGCCTCTCCCCATCCTCTCTCCTTGGCCTTCAGACCTCCTACAGCTCAGGCTGCCCACATCTACTTCATCAGGCTTCAATTCCTGTCTGTGGCATGAGCCGTGAATGCTTGCTCCAGTAGAAGATCCCCAGCCTAGCCCATCTTCTAGTACCAGCTTCCTAACTGGTATTCCTGACTCTGGTCTCTCCCAACCTATATTCCACACAACAAACAGACTGATATTTCTAGAGTATGGGAATTTCGAATTACCATGCCATTCTCCTGCTCAAGAAGCTTCAGCAGCTCCTATTGCTACTTAGATAAAACAGAAGTTCCTCTGTTTGATTATGTTCCTTTACAGATTGGCTCCAGCCTATGTCTCTAGACTCCCTCTCATTCATTCTCTGCTGAAGGCACACAGTCCTACCTGCTGTCGCCTATACACAACATTTTACCTTCTACCTTGGATCTGTCTGCCTGACCTGGAAGACTCTCCCTCCACCTCACCTTCTACTTCTGCCTTGGGGAATCAAGGCTCAGCTCAACTTCCGAGATCTCTTCAGGTGTTAGTGGCCTGCCCCCCCCCCCCTGCAGCCACTACAATCACCAAATTACTAGTATTTACTTTGCTAATGTTTTGTGTAAAATACATGTTGGATCTGAATAGTAGAATGTCAGCACCTCCTTAAGGTCCCCCGTATTTGTGCCCCCAGCACCAAGTACAGTGCCTGACACACTGCTGAACTGCATGGCATTGAAATGGGCTGCTGAGGCATTTGATCACCCCCTTTTGTTTGAGCTCTAACAGAGACTGTCCAGGCCTGTACTTCCCTTTTACTTAAATCCTCCTCTTGCCACACCTGTTCCTATTCTCCCCTGGAAAGTTGAGGCCATTTATGACTTCCTCCTGAACCCATGTGAATTCTTTATGATCATTTTGCCTTTTAATGTGCAATCTATTCTAGAATTTTGCCAGGGATTAGCACCAAGTGTATCCGGAATTCACCTTTCTTTCCCTTTGTTTTGGTTTCTAGGATGGACTGGAAATACAGTATTGCCCAGTTTGTACTTAGAGAATCAATGGGCTGGAAAATCTCTCGGATTGCTCCATATGCCTCCATATTAGAAATTGCAGCATAAAAGTAAGTATCTGAGGCCTTACTGCCACATGATATTTTGAATTTATGCATGAGAATGAGTAATCAAGTCATGTTTGATTTCTGGCCCTCAGGCTCTGTACATTAATCATGGTGGACTTGAGAAATTGGATGTTGGCTAGGTCCTACTAAAGTTTACCTGATCAAACTGATTCTGCCTGCCAACTTTTCTGTATCCTCTCGAGTTGGAGGGACATTCTCTACAAATGCAATTCCATAGAGCAGGAAGTTTTGTAGAAACTCCTTGAGGCCATCCTTGGTCTCCAAAAAGCTCTGGAAGTCGACAGGCAGCACCTGGGCTTGCCGGTAGATCTCTGCATTCCACAAAATTCTAGGCTGGACGGTCTGCTTCTGCCCTTCATAGCTATTCTTCAGCAGCCACTCCAAACTATACCTGGTCACATGACCATCCGGCCCTTTAGAGGGGAAAAAAAGGAAGCATCATAAAATGTACTATCTGGGTGGGATCCTTAGGAACTTGTTGAATGAAACTGACACTCTCAGTAACCAGTTACCCAGGGCCACATTCTTCAATAAGCAATTTTTTAGTGGTTTAAAGGCTTATGGCAGCACCTAACCCCTCAACAGCCCCAGCTACCAAAGACTCAGAAAAGAACATTCTCATAGTCAAAATAAGTCTTTGACACTGTAAAATGGCTCAAGATTAGAAAGGAATATCATTTTATCAATGGAAATCATTTTAAAAATATATATTACCACCTGTTTTGCCACTTAGGGGGCTAATGATCAGGAGGGAAATGAAAAACCAAATGGAGGAAATGAAAAATCTGACTTGCGGGTGAAACCCACATTTGTATTGCTGTCTCTCCCGTTAGAACAGAGGCTTCTTGAGAGCAGTCTTACCCTTCTCTTTATTTCCTCAGTGCTTAGCACAGGGCTTTGTACATAGTAAGCATTGATCATATGCCTTTTATTGTCTAAAACAAAACTCGGTATGCTTTTCCCTAATCCCTCCCCCTCATCCAAGTCAATAACTTCAACAAGCATTTATGAAGTACCTGTTATGTGCCAGTCACTGAGCCAAGCACTGCGGGTTCAAAGAAAAGCAAAAAATAGTCCCTGTTCTTAAGTTCATACTCTAATGGAGGAAACAACATAGAGACAACTCTGCGTAAATAAGATCTATGCCTGATAAACTGGAGGTGGGGAGATGGTGTCAGAGGAAAAGCGTGAAGACCAAGGAGGACTAGAAAAAGGCTGAGACCTGAAGGAAGCCAGGGAACCCAGGGCACAGAGATGAGAAGGGAGAGAGTTCTGAGCTTGGGGGACAGCCAGTGAAAATGTGCAGAACTAGGAGATGGATTAAGATGGAGCCCGAGGGAAAACAAGACCAGTGCCACTTGACTATACAGCATATGGGGGGGCAGGGTGAAAGGAGTAAGGTGGAAGAAGCCTGGAAAACTAGGAAGAGGCCAAGTTATGAAGGCCTTAAAGGCTAAACAGATGATCTGATATTTGATTCTGGGAGCAATAGGAGACCACTGAAGTTTACTAAGTTAAGAGGGGTGACATGGTCAGACTTGTGCTTTCGGAACATCTGAATGGAGGATGGACTGTAATGATGGCTATAATAGCTAACATTTACATAGCACTTACTAGGTGCCAGGCACTGTGCTAAGAGCTTTACAATTATTATCTCATTTGATCCGCACAACAACCTGGGAGGGAGGTGCTATCATTACCCCTATTTTATAGATAAGGAAACTGCGGCAGACTTGCCTAAACTTGCTAAGTGACTTGCCCAAGTTAACACAGCTAGTAAGTATCTGAGACCACATTTGACCTCAAGTCTTCCTGACTCCAAGCCTGGCACTCTATCCACTGCAGCACCACTGGCTGCTCTCCACTGTGGTGGGGAGACACTGGAGGAAGGGAGTCCAACTATAAAGGTCCGGGCATGAAGTGATGAGAGTCTGCACCAGAGTGGTAACAGTGTCACAGGACAGAAGGGGGCATATAGAAGTCTTTGGTCATTTCAGTCAAGTCTGACCTTTTGTAACCTCATTTAGGGTTTTCTTGACAGGGATACTGGAGTGGTTTGCCATTTCCTTCTCCAGCTCATTTTATAGATGAGGAAACTGAGGCAAATGACTTGCCCAAGGTCACACAACTAGTAAGTGTCTGAGGTCAGATTTGAACTCAGGTCATCCAGACTCCAGGCCCAGTGCTCTATCCATTGTGTCCCATATAGAAGACAGGACTTGAGAACTGATTGGATCTGGGGGATGAGAGTCAAGAATGACACCTAGTTTGTGAACCTGGGGGACTGCGCCCTTAGGGAAGTTAGTAGGGAGGAAGGTTTAGAGGGAAAGATGACGAGTTTAGTTATGGACAATGTTGACTTTAAGATGTCCAGTAGGTAGTTGGAGATACAAGCCTGGAGGTCAGTAAAGAAGCCATAGAAGAGCTGCACTATCATCCTCCCAGTCACCCTAGTGAAGGCCCTCATCCTCTCACACCTGGACTATTGCCAGAGCCTTCTAGTTATCTCCCTCCCTCAAGACTTCCCCACTGCAATCCATCCTCCATGCAGGAGTCAAAGTGATTTTTCTAAAAATCCCCCCCATTGAAAATATTCTAATGTCTTCCTATGGCCTCCAGGATCAAATCCAAAATTCTCTGCTTGTTGTTCAAATCTCTGCATAACCTGGCTCCCTTCTCCCTTCCCAGTCAGTGCCTTCCACACACTCAATGTTTCAGTGACACTTGCTGTTTCTCATATGTGAATCTCCATGTCCCACCTGTGTGCCTTTTCATTAGCTGACCCTCATGGCTAGAATGCTCTCCCTTCTCACTCTGCCTCCTGGCTTATACAGGAAGCCTTTCCTCTAAGATTACCTTCTACTAACCCTATATGCAGGCCATGAAGCAATAGTTAGAACCGAACATAGAATAACTGATTGGTTTAGGATTGGAAAAGGAGTATAACAAGGCTGTATATTGTCACCTTATTTATTTAACTTATATGTGGAGTACATCATGTGAAATGCCAGGCTGCAAGAATCAAAAGCCAAAATTAAGGCTGGGAGAAATATCAACAATCTCAGATATGCAGATGAGACCACTCTGATAGCACAAAGTGAAGAGGAATTAAGAAGACTCTTGATGAGGGTGAAACAGGAGAGTGTAAAAGCTGGGTCGAAGCTTAACATTGAAAAAAACTGAGATCTTGGCAACTGCTACCATCATTTCCCAGCAAACTGAGGGAGAAGAAATGGAAGCAGTGTCATATTTTGTATTCTTGGGCTCAAAGATCACTGCAGATGGCCACTGCAGCCACAAAATTAAAAGATGCTTGTTCCTTGGAAGGAAAGCTATGAACAACACAACCCTGTAGAGAGCTGGTGTGCACAACTGTTTGCACGCTGTATCCCCTATTAGAATATGGGAGCTCCTCAAGGGCAGGGATTATCTTTTTGCTTTTCTTTGTATCCCTAACACTTCCTGTCCCATAGTGGGTGCTTAATCAATGCTTGTTGAGTGGCTGAGTTTTTCATTCACCTGTTCATTATAAAATCATTTTTACAGATGAAGAACCTGAGAGGTTTGAAAATGATTCACCTAAGAACACAAATAAAGTCAATGGAAGAGCTGAGCTATACTTTCATTTCTCCTGGTTCTCTGTTGAGGACCTTTAAACCCTGAAAAATATACTTTAAAAAGGGGGTTATAATTTATTTCCAGAATGAAAGTGTTAATCTAAGTGGCCATCTGGGATCCTCCCAACTAAGACCTCTAAAATAGAAACATTTTTATGTAAAATAATTATAGCAACCACTTCATTTGAATCAATCTATTTCTGTCAGATGTTCCTCACCAAATGGCCCCAAGAAAACCAATTTAGTGTGTGTGTGTGTGTGTGTGTGTGTGTGTGTGTGTATATATATATATATATATATACACACACACACATACACACACACATATATATATATACTATATACCATATACTAATATATATATACCCCCACATAATATCTATGAGTCTTTCTACTCATAAACACAGAAGAAAAGTGAAAGACATTATTAAAAACAGGAAAAATTTTGATATCAGTCCATTTATGCTGCTGCTTATATATTTGATCCAAGAATCAAATGCAGAAATACAGAGGATAAGAAATCTGCTACTGAGATTGCAAAACACACTTAGAAGCTGATGTTGGGAAATATTTTTCTAAATGTTGCAGAACATAAAACAACCAGGAAGTCTGCAAGTCCATCCAACTCTGCAACACGGTGGTAATATGTTTTATGTAACATAGTCTGTGACTTCTCTTGTTTCTTCCCTATCTCAGATCTCATTACCTTCCACAGCCCATCAAAGGAAATTGCCTATAGCAAGCAAGTAGCCTTGAGCAAAACACAGCAGGTGTCATAGCAAGGCATCCTTGCTTGCAATGAATCCTTCAAGCAAACTAATAAATGACTCCAGAAAGAGAAAGCTTTCCATTTAAAGTTGAGGGAACAGGAATACTAGCTACAATGAAATGAACATTTATAATATCAGAATATCAAGGAGAAATAAGCTCATTTTGTTACATGCTAGATCTGAAGCTAAGATGCAAGAACTATGTTCTTGAATGAATGGCTTTGCAGGTAGGAAAGGATGGGGTACCCAGGGAAGCCTGTAGGGAGAATGCTTTGGTCCAATACCTGATGACACAGGTTGAATTGCCCACCAGGAGAACTCCTGGGAAGTAAAATCTCATTGCTCCTGACTAGGAGACCAAGGAACCACCAGGTGAGAATCCCCCTCTTGGGAAAGAAAGGCTACAGGTCAAAGGCACCTTTGGAGGAAGGAATGGGTTAAACAGCCAAAGGCTTAGACACATTAAAACAAAGCTAAGTCCAGGATTCCATTATGAGGCTGCACATGAGTTGAGCTTTAAAGGAAACTAGGAATCCTAAGAGGCAGGGGTGAGGAGGGCATGCATTCTAGGCATGGATAAAAAAAAAAAAGAGCTCCAGCCTTGGAGTCAGGAGGACCTGAGTTCAAATCTGGCCTGAGACACTTGACACTTACTAGCTGTGTGACCCTGGGCAAGTCACTTAACCCCATGAGGAGGAGGAGGAAGAGGAGACCAAATTACCAGTATCAAAATGAAAAAAGTGAATCACAAATAATGAAGATGAAATTAAAACCATTGTTAGGATTTATTTTGCCCAACTATATGCCAATAAAACTAAAAAACCTGAATGAAATGAATATTTTCAAAAATATAAATAGCCTAGATAAACAGAAGAGGAAATAGAATACTTAAATAACCCTATCTAAGAAAAAGAAATTAAGTCATAAATGAGCTCCCTAAGAAAAAATCCCCAGGACTAGATGGATTTACAAGCAAATTCTATCAAACATTTAAAGAAAATTAATTCCAATATTATATGAACTAGT